TGGGGATCGAACCGCGGTCCCTGTGCTTTGCCAAGCTTGTTTCAAGTAGGTGCTTTAGACCACTGAGCCATCTCTCCAGCCCCTGACAAACCTTTTCTGTAAAGGACCAGTTAATGAATATTTTTGACTTTGTGGGTCATAGTCTCAAGTGCAGCTACTACACTGTACTGTTATACCACAGAAGTAGTTATAGACAATATAATATGTAAATGAGTGGTCATGTAATGTTCCTTAAAGCTTTGTTCACAAAAGCAGGCAGTGGAGGGCTGAACTGGCTATAGTTTGCTGAAAAGGTTGGAAAAGCCATGTTCTAACCCATGGTGGAGGCATAACATTAAACAAAGCACTGAGCTGGGAACCAGAACACTTAGTTATGCATCTGACTAGAATCTTGACCTTTCTGAGCCTCTTTTTTTCTTTTAATTTTTTAAAAAATCTTTTATTTACTTATTTATTTTATTTGGTACAGGGTCTTGCTACACAGCTCAGACTTGTGATCCTCCTGTCTCAACCTTTCTAGCACTGTGGTTATGTGTGTGCATCGCCACGTCTGGACATCTTTTTATGTGCAACCATGTATTAAGGGTAGAGAAGTTGTTTTGTTTTGTTTTGTTTTTTTTGAGACAGGATCTCATTATGTAATCCAAGCTAGCCTTGAACTCACAGTGATCCTCCTACCTCAGCCTACTAAGTGCTGGGATTATAAGTGTGGCCACCACACCTGGCACAAAGGTAGATGAGTTTCTGAGAGCAAGTCAAGAACTAGAATTGGGTCAGTTGGGAGTAAAAAAGTAAGAGAAGTCAAGGGTGATTCCAGATTTCACATAGCTCAGGTGGGCAGGAAATATAATAGGAAAAAAAAGGTTTTAAGGTGTATTAGTCAGCTTTTTGTTACTGCAACCAAAATATATGACACACACAATTTAAAGAAGAAAAGGCTTATTTTGCCTTTTGGCTTCAGAGCTTATGGTTGACTGACTCTAAGGCAGAAATAGCACAGTGGGAGAATATGTGGAAGAACAGTGTTTACCTCAGGCCAGCCAGAAAGCAGAGAGCCTTGAGGAAGGGGCCAGGATATACCCTTCAGAAGCATGCCCCCCAGTGACCTAGTTCCTCTAGCTAGTTCCCACTTCTTAATAGCCCAATCAGCTATGAACTCATTAATGGATTAATCAAGGGATGAGGTTAGCACCCTCACAATCCATCCAATCTGTCTAGACCCACTTGTCTAGGTCTGGATATGGAGATATATATATATATATATTTCCCCCCCCCCTCCGGTACCAGGGATTGAACTCAGGACCTTGCACTTGCCAGGCAAGCACTTGTTCTACTGAGGCATCTCCTTGGCCCTCCATCCAATCAAGTTAACAAGATTAATTGCTACAAAGGGTAAAAGCCAAATGAGTTGAATTTTAAGTCTTCTACCTGACATATAATCAAACAGCTATTAGGTCACTGGTATGTGGACTTTAAGTCTTAGGAAAAGGTCTAGTCCATTTAGAGAGAGTTAAGATAAAAATGGTAGTGAGCCAGGGATATAGCTTAGTGGCATAAGGGCCTGCCTGGCAATTGTAAGGTCCTGAGTTCAATCCCCGGTACCACAAAGAAAAAAGGTAGTGAAAACCTAGTCTAAATAGGAATGTTAACTATACATCTGCAGTGTTAGCATGCAGTTGAAAAGAAGGATGGAACTGAAGCTGAGACTTTCAGATAGAAATGAGTATGAGGAGAGAGGTATGAGGGCAGGAGCTGAGGGACATAGGTTTGTCAAAGAGAGGATTGACTTGGAATGTCGGGTGTTGCCATGAGATCATGTTAGACAAAAACTGAGAAATAGCCTCTATTGGATTTAAAATTAAAATTAAGCTCTGTACAGTATCATATTCCCTGTTGTTTAGCTTGCATTCAAATTGCTTAGTTTTGGGTTTTTTTTTCCTATATTTTAGGGCAGGGTCTACAGGGTGTTCAGGGTCTCACTACTAGATCAGACTTGCAGTGATCCACCTGTTTATAGCCTCCCAAGTGCTGGGATTACAGGCGTGCCCAGTTTCAATTGCTGTTTCAGTGCACCCTGGGGGCAGGGCTGGCATGACAGGCTGGGGGATTGAATCCCTGCCCCCTGAGCCTGCTTGCAGGCGCTTTAATCCACTAAGCTATTTGGCCAGCCCTGCGCAGTACTATAATAGAAGTCAGGTTTCAGTGAGTTGAAGAATAGGTGAAAAATGGAGACAGCAATTATTGACAAACTCTTTTTTTTTTTTGGAGGAACTGGGGATTGAACTTAGATCCTTGCATTTGCCAGTCAAGCGCTTATCCTATTGAGCCATCTCCCCCACCCCGCTATAGGCCAACTCTTTATGGAACAAAGGACTTTATCAAATAGCTTCTAGATTTAGGTATTCTAAAAGATACTGCATATGTTATTTCTAACACATATCGTAGGATTACTCTATCTAATATTTCCCTGGGTTAATAAATACATTTCTTTTTGGTTTTTTGAGAGTCCTACTCTGTAATTTAGGCTGGCCTTGAACTCACTATGTAGCTGGCACTGAACTCACAGCAGACCTCTGCCTCGGCCTCCTGAGTGCTAGGATTACAGGTACACACTACCATGCCTTAAGCAACAGATGCATGGATAAAGAAATGTGTTTATACACAATGGAGTACTAATGTGTCATAAAGAATGATCAACTTGAGTTATTTGTAGGTAAATGGGCATACTTTGAGACCATAATGTTTTCTGGGGTTTGTTTGTGGTACCACATATCGAACATGGGACCTTTCACTTGCCAGGTAGGTACTTGTGCCACTGAGCTATCTCCCCTGCCCAAGACCATAATATTAAGTGAAATAAATCAGACACACAAGCTTAAATATTGTGGGTTTTTTTTTTTTTTTAATATGAGAACCCCAACATATAAATAAAGTGCAAAATAAAAGACAGACCGTAGAAAAAAAGAGAGAAAAAAGTTACTGTAATCCAGCATGGTCAGTGTATTAAAAGTGTACGTTGGGTGAGCATTGTGGCACACACTTAAAATACTAGCACTTGGGAAGCTGAGGCAGGAGGATCACTGAAAATCAAGGCTACCCTGAGCTTAAGTGAGTTCAAGGCCAGCCTGAACTGCACAGTGAGACCCTGTCTCAAAAACCACAAAATAAAAGTATACCTTAGTATAATTATTTTGTGCATTTTATGTTTTTTGGCCTGTTAATCTGTGTTTGTGATAATTAACTTGATAAAGACTTGTAAAATAAATCCAATGGTGGCAAAAACAAACAACCCCAGAAAAATAAGGTTACAAAAACAAGGATGAAGGGCTGGAGGGCAAGAGAAGAAGAAAAAGAACTGAGATGTGTTATGTACCTGTTCCCCATAATGAATGTAATCATTATGTTCTGCAAATAGGTATTCATAAAAAATTTTTTTTAAATACATTTTTTTCTGTTGTTTTTTTTTAATATTTAGTACAGGGTCTACAGAGTCTCACTGCACAGATTGGACTTGTAATCCTTCCTGTTTTTCAGCCTCCCAAGCGCTGGGATTACAGGCTTGTGCCACCACGCCATCTGAATTGCCCTCTCAGCATGCCCTGGGGATGGGACTGTAAAATACATTTCTTAAACTAGGTGTGGTGGTGCATACCTCTCAAGCACTCAAAAAGGCTGAAGCAGGAGGGTCACAAGTCAACCTAGATTACATAGTAAGACTATCTCAAAAAAAAAAAAAAAAAAACATGTATATTACATATATATGTATATATTTATTTATTTATTATTTGTTTGTGCAGAGTCTCACTATGCAGCTCAAACTCGTAGTGATCCTCCTGTTTTCAGCCTCCCCAGCACTGGGATTACAGTGCACGCTACCATGCTGGACTCACATGTTTTTTTTTTTGTTTGTTTGTTTGTGTTTTTGGTGGAAGCGGGGATTGAACTCAGGTCCTTGCGCTTGCCACGGAAGTGCTTAATCCACTGAGCCATCTCCTTGGCCCCTCGTGTATTTTTTTGTCTGAAGTTATTTTTACTTTTGTATATATACACAATGTATGCCTTTCAACAAGAATGGGAAACTTCTTTCATTCCTGTGGCAAGATTCTTGTTCTTCATCCCTTAGGCAGAGCAGGGGAATGTTGATGCTGGATTCAGGCTAGATCATACTCTCTGTCTCCTAAGCAGCAAGACTGAGTGGTTACCCCACCTTGCTTCTCTCCCAGGCCCGGTTTGAGACTCAGCGGATTCAGATGGAATCAGAGCTGGCTGTGCAGCTGGAGCAGCAGGTGACGGAGCGGTTGGCGCAGGCTCAGGAAAGCAGCCTACGGCAAACAGCCTCCCTGAGGGAAAATCACAGGTACTTGGAGCTCTTGGTGCTGCTTCCCTTGGTCACAGCAGGTGTTGTCAGCACCCTGCCCAGGTGCTGGTGGTCTCCCTTACCAGTTTCCAGCCGCTGGCTCCCATTGCCATCAACTAGGACCTTGGTGCCCTTGGGAAGGCTGCCAGCTCATGCTCATGGAAAGCCAGGGCCTGCCAACTTCCTCCTATAGGGAGGAGCCCTTCACCATAAATCAAAGGGCACAGGACTGTGAAGTGTCTGACTTGCTGGGACTGTGCTGAAGTGTGACCTGCACTCTCTCCAGAGCTGTCCTGTGGACAGTCTGTTCCCCATCCCAGTTTCATTATTTTTACCCATATCAATTTTTGTTTCCTAAAAATTCTTCTTAAATACTTTACTTTATCATAAATTCTTGTCTTTGCTTCTGGGGAGCCCATCCTGAGACCCTAACTTTGTCCTTGCTTTTCCTGGCCATGCCTAGGCAGGTAATTGGGAGCAGCCCATCTTCCCCATACCTGCACACATTCTTTTCCTCATTGACTATGTCTGTCTCCAGTCTCAGCCCTGTTTTCTTACCTGTGCCATCCTAGGAAGCAGCTGCAGGACCTTAATGGACAGCACCAGCAGGAACTGGCCACTCAGCTGGCTCAGTTCAAAGTGGAAATGGCAGAACGAGAGGAACGGCAGCAGCAGGTGGCTCAGGACTATGAGCTCAGGTGATAGCTCCTGGAGTATGCTATTAGGCCTCAGCCGCTTCACCAGGGTGGAGCTTGGACTTGGGATGGTAAAGAGCTGCCCCTTGGAGATTCTCTGTCCTCTTCTAAATCAGTCAAGCTCTTTCAGAGTCACAGGTGTTTGACATTCTATCGTGACTCTTATCCTTCATGTCTGTACTTCCTTAAAGGCACAGAGTCACCTCTCCCCTCCTTCCTTCAGACTGGCACGGGAACAAGCTCGAGTACGGGACCTACAGAGTGGGAACCAGCAGCTGGAGGAGCAGCGGATGGAGATGGTAGAACGGCTCCAGACCATGCTGCAGGCCCACTGGGAGGAGGTCAACCAGCTGCTCAGCACCCTCCTCCCGCCTCCTAACCATCCGGTAGGCATTGCCCCTTGAGCTAAGTGTCTCAGGATTGTGTTCTAGATTCCTTCTATGGAAGCCTAGCTCCCTCCCTAGGAAGTAAGTTGGGCCCACATCAGGATGGAAAAAAACCTGTGGACTTTTCTAAAGCACAGCTACCTTGCCAAAATAAAGCTTTCCCTATGCGTATAGTTTTCCTACACTAGCCCTATTCCATTGGGCCTAACTCTTTGCCCAGTCCCCAGGGATGATGAATCATCCCTGGTACTCGGTAGAGTGACAGCTGAATTAATTATGGGAGTAAGAGCTAAAAATTCTTGCTAAGTCTTGCACTGGAATAGTTTTACTCTTATCACTTCATATATTAGCATGTCTTTTTAATTATGAAATTTTTATTATTAGCTAAGATGTTTTCTAGAATAGGTCTAAACATGCACATGGTTTAAAAGGATCAGAGGAAAAAAAAAAAAGGATCAGAGGCCAGGGATATAGCTCATTGGTACAAGTGCCTGCCTGGCAAGTGCAGGGTCCTGAGTTTGATCCCTGGTATAAAAAAA